AGATCACTCGAACCTCATGCTTGTGCTCTCTCGCCTCCTTGCAGTCGAGGATTTTTACAAGTTCCCTCAAACACCATGACGAAGATGCATAATTTATAGAGAAGACGACTATGAGAATCCTCGATTCATGAATGACTTTGTCGAGATTAGGAGATATATTTTCGCCTAGGGTGAGATCTGTGTCATCTCTAAACACATGAATTCTTTTTTGTTCTAAATCTTTGAATAGATGATCCATAAAGCTTTTACGGATATCTTCACCTCTAAAACTTACAAAGACATCATACGTCCACCAAGACCGTTGATCGGATGCAGTAGCCATTGTCAATGATGAAAGCTGTGTTGAACACATGTTAAGAACAACCAAAAAGGAGTAGCTTTGAAAGATGGATTAAGAGTTGGGGGTTTCTTAGATCAACTAAAATGAAAGAATAAACAAGCATTTAAAAAGAAAAGAAACGAATGGATGACTTACAGAAGATGTGATGTTGGATAAGTCTGCGTGTGAAGAACAAATTGAGTTCTCAAATTATATATATAAAATGAAAGAGACGTGTGTGGACCTCAAGTCAACTTTTTATAATTTAATTACACTTTCAGTCCCTCAACTTTTTGGAAGTTTCCTTGTTTTCTTGATGAAACTTCCATTAAAACAATATAAAGTTAAATAAATAATTTAGCTATAAAAAATACTTATATATAAAACAATTACTATGCATTTTTTTAATAATAAAAACCAATTAAGTTTGTTTAGGGTTGTTTATTAAAACGTTTATCTGTTAAGTGTTTATCAATCATTTGAATGAAATTATGTTTTAGAAGGGTACTTGTGCAATGCAACGAGTTACATTTTGATTTTAATATTTCATTCTATTATTCATCTCAGTCGATATTATAATATGGTCTAATTTGATTTTGAAAAAGCGATGATATTTTTATTTTTCAATAAAATATAAATTTAAATATATCATAAAAATTTGACAAAAATATATCAATATTAGTATCAAATTAACTATTTGAAATTTCTCATTTTTGCGTAATTTTTTTATTATAATTTAATTTAAGTTCAATAACGAAGTAATTTATATTTGATTTAATAATATAATTTTCTTATAAARATAATAATTAATTATTTTGTTAGAACTCGATAATTATCCTAATTATATAATAGATTTTTGATATTTTAAAATGAGATGTTTATCCTCCATTTGATTATGTTTATCCACAGTTAGTTATACGAATATAAACATGGAGCTTTAATAAGTTGTACTTACGCATAATTTACTTGTAATCTTGAATTTTAAGTTATATGCATCAATATACAGTACTTCATGTATAAAAAATGATTTTTAAGAATTTTTGTCAAATACTTTATAATATAATATAGATAATGTAAAAGTGTAATTTGTTTGAATTTTAATTGCTATAATATAAGGATAAGCATTTAACAAAAAAATATTTTTAAAAGGATGTTACGTACATCTTACTTATTATGAAACCACTTATTTTCTTACATTATTTTTAGTCTATCTATAATGATTTTTTTGGAAAGATCAGGAGTTTAAACCTCACCTCACTAAAGGAGATAAAAATGTGTGAGTTTATGTCTTGCTTTTGTTGTATATAGATATTATAGACTTAAATAATATGGGTGGAAATTATCGGATTAATCATAATTGAAGGTCTACACTATTGGATCAATCATAATTGAAGGTCAACACTATAATTTCGATAAGAATGGAAATTTATATGAATAAAGTATAAAAAGATCTACACTATTGGATCAATCATAATTGAAGGTCAACACTAACGAGATCCATCAGATTAATTTATGTGAAAAACACAATTCATGGATGAGTAAGATTAACAAAATATAACAGATTTTCTATAGCTGATTTGACAATTTTTTATTCACAACAAATCTTTAAAGAAAGAGATGTGTGTTGACCACAAGTCAACTTTTATACTTTATTCATATAAATTCATATTGTATTTTTATATTATATGAATTGACTTGTGATTATTACAACTGAAGTAGTGGAACCGACATGAATATATTTTTAATTCTTTAGTTTTATCATTTTATTTTCAACTCTCCAATTCACTTTTTTATGCATTTTTTTTATAATTAAAACCAATTAAGTGTTTTGTGTGTCGTTTTTTAAGAAAATGAAAAATTACCCTAACTTTAGTTTGTTTTTTAAAATGCTTACCCGTTAAGTGCTTACCAATTATTTAAATGAAATTATGTAAATGTTATTATGAATAATGTAAAAAACGTAACTCGTTTGAATTTTAATAGCTATAATCATCATCTTCGTCTCTGAATGAAAAAGTAACAAAATCCTTTGCTTCCATCCATACCCAATTCCCCGCAATCATAAAACGAAACCATGTGATATCTGACTTAGGGATTCCAATGAAATCATGATATGAGTCCTGACCCTAAAATGCAACTATCATGCTCGGATGGAAGGAGCACGGCAGATGCCGTACACTTGAGTGGAAAAGGATTCCCCTACTGCTACCTTGTTACGACTTTGTAGAGTTGAAGAGATATGTTTTCTCCAAAAGAGACATCATTGTCATCCCTAAACGCATGAATTTCTTTTTGTCCAAAATCTTTGAAGAGATGATCCATAAAACTTTTACGGATATCTTCATCTCTAAAGCTTACAAAGACATCAAATGCCCATCGATGTCGTCGAGCGCATGTAGTAGCCGTTATCAATGATGAAAGTTGTGTTAAAGACCAGTGTTAAACGTATCAACTAAACGATTATAATGATGTAATTTATATAAAAACATATTTTTTGATGTATTTTAATTAATATGCGATTATGTGTGTTAATATTATAAATGTGTAAAATGAAAAATGAAAAAAAGAAAAGAAATATAAAGTAAATTAAACAACTAATTATAAGGGTGTATAGTGTAAAACAAATTAATCAATTAAAACAGAAAAAAGAATTTCTCCGCTTTTTTAGTACACTTTATTTTTTAAATTATTTTCTTTTTCTTTTGCCTTGAAATTAAACCTTATGCAGAAAATTCATTTTCTATGTAAAGTTTTTTGTTTTGTTGTAAACTTTGGCTATGTAGAAAAAAATGGTTTTTAAAATGGCTAAAAAGCGAAATCATTTTAATGAATTGACTATTTGAGTAAATTTACCTTTATTAAAACAATGATTTTAATTTAACTCTATCTAGACTAAAGGGTAAAACAGTCATTTTTTGTGATGAAAATTGTTTATTCAACACTATAAATAATTTATTAATTTAGCTTAATTCATACATGATTCTATAGAAAATAAACTGTATCTCCTAAAAGTTACGAGGTCTGATTTGATATATATACCTTAAACAAATAATCTAACCACTTCTAATATATATATATATATATATTAATACCATCATTTTATTTATAGTTTTATAAATAATAACAAAACAAAAAAAAAAAAACAATTGACCGACAATATTACATGATGTAAACAAACATGTTAACAATTAATTACAAGATATTTGGGAAAAAGTTAAAAGAGTTTATTGAAACAAATAATGAATATAAATTGGAGAAACGGTTTTTATTACATATAGTTATGATACGGAATACAAATTATGGATATCAACATTGCTGTAAGGTGGAGGTTGATACAATGAGGTGCAATCAGATGCATCCAAAAAGTAAAGGTTAGGTGGAAGTTCTGGCAGCACTTCCAGCTTCTTACAACCACAAAGGGAAAGGGAGCGAAGACGAGGAAGTCGACTCAAACATCCAGCTGGAAAGCTAGTGAAGTTGTTCCCTGTCAAATCTAGAGATTCTAGAAACGATAAGCCTCCAATGCTATCAGACACTTCCAATAAATTGCAGTGGCTAAAACTTAATTCCTGTAAGGAACATAACTTCGCCAATGAAGGCATTACCAGACTTTGACTTTGGGGATATTGTATCTTACTTGGTAACCATGAAAGTCGAGAAATTGAAGCCCACCATCTAGACCGCTTCTCTTCACGTCGACCAATTTCCAGTACTAGAAGGTTGCATTGAGAGAATACAGAACAAGGAAGCTCAGTTATGGCGGTTCCATCAATAGAGAACTCCCTCAACGTCTGGATTGAGCCAAAGAATTCAGGAAGTTTGTCCAGTTTTGAGCAACCCGAGAGATTCACAACTTCAAGAGAATCCATTTCGACTTTGCAGGGGAATCTCCTAAAACTTTTGCAATATCTCATATTTAGAACAACAAGCTTCTTGAGCATTCCAAAAGACGGGTGGACTTTMACCAAGTTAATACAACCTTCAAGAATTAACTCTTCAAGATTTGTAATACTTGTGAAATCAGGGGTACTTGTTAGGTTACGACAACCCCTTAGGTTCATCACTTTCAACCTTGGAAAACACTTACATCCGGTACAAAAATGTTAGTACTAAAATCATGGGGTGTTAAAGAAAGAAGAAATTCATGAACGAATACTTACCTTAGGTGTCGTCCAAAGAGTTTTTAAGCGGYTGTAAGACAAGTCAATGACCACAATGTTTTCTGGATAAAAATCCAAAGGGAACTCAAAAGGGCATCCATTCCAATATAKCAACGTTAGCTTATTCGATACAGCTTTCAACCTTCCAGAGTAATTCACCTTAGAGTCCCCACAAAGTTTCCGAGTTCCCCATAAGAAATTTTTAGGATCCGCAGATTTTTGATATCTTCAAAAGCTTCACCGTCTATGTGAACGTTTCGACTAGATTGCTCTAGAGAAAGGTCAAGAACTTCCACTCCTTCTAATGCCTAGATATAAGTAATAAGATTATCAAATTCTGAATATTATGAAAACATATAGCTTATTACTTAAACTATGTATTAAGTAGAAAAAAGAATCATATGCCAATTCTTACCTTATTTTTGCTCAATACATTACGAAACTCTGATAAACTCCACAGTCTGCTCCACACTTCCTTTACCACAAATTCCTCATGTATAATTCTCCTTGCCATGCTTTGAATCARGTCATGCATTTGAAGTGAATTATTATCTTGAGATATCGTAATAAGTGACTTATGTAGTAGAACCTCGATATTAGCATGTGCACTGCTTCCTAGTACACTCRCCGCAAAATCTTTATCTTCCCCAATGAACGAGCAGGCGATATCAAGAAATATGTTTTTCTTATCGAAGTCTAGCGCATCAAAACTTGGTCTAAGCTTTTGTTGTATCTCTGCATCAGGATATTTTTGGAGTATACCCACTTCGCTTTGCCACACATCCATAGAYTTGCCATACAAATGACTACCCAAAACTATAAGAGCCAAWGGGTGCCCTTGCAAACACTTCACAACTTGGTTAGAGAGCACCATGAAATCCCCTGTAGGATGCTTATGGCGAAAAGCATACAAATGAAAAAGCTCCCTGGCTTTATGAATYRGTAAAAAYGACATGTCATGAATGTTATCYACTTCATGAGACCTTAGCAACTGTTTGTCTTTACCGGTGAAAATAATAAAACTTCYGGGGCAAAACCAATCAKGGGAACCGGCTAATGCTTYTAACTGCTCCCGATCATCCACATCATCCAAAACAAGCAAGATCGGCTTAGATGCCATCCTCTCCTTTATTAACTCGATTCCATCATTCACATTCGTTAACGTTTCAACTCTTGTTTTCAAGATGCTATTAATAATTTGCATTTGGACTTCTGTTATGCGTTTATGTTTTGCTACTCGTTGGACATTTTCAAAAAAA